GAATAATAAAAAAGGGAGCTGCGAAAAGACAATCTACCTTTCACCTCTGACCCTGTCGGAGCACTGGAAGCTTTTAGTCCCCGCTGGGCTTACTATATTTTGAGAGGGTGTGAAGTGACGGCCCACCTGTATGAGATTTACCCATGAGACCTCCGCCCCTTGGCCTATCTGGCTCAGACGGCGTCTTTTCAACCCTGCTCTCTCTGAATCCTCTGTTCCCGTGCCAGCCGCCGAACCTGACCCTGAGCGCAGGAATGGCACTGCAGCTGCCTGGGGGGTAGACGGAGAGAGAAAAAGAGAAAGGAGGGAAAGGAGAATCTTTGCTTCAGGGATTATGAGATTTAGTCATGAATGAGATAAACTGTGGCTTGTTTCACCATCTCTCCATTTCTTGACCTTGTTTGTTTTTGCGTTACTTCCTTTTTAATACGCATAAGAAAAAAATCACCAGAACTACAAAGCTTTCACTTTTTTACTGCTAATATCCACCTCTGGAGCCGAATCAGAATTCAGGGACGTGTTTATCCCTGTGTTGCTATCTTACCTTAGCAACTCTCAGCATCAGCAATATAAACAGTTTTTAACAGGCAGTCACAGAAGTTCCCATGATCCCTTGTTGCAGCCTCAGTACTTGCAGAAACAGGATAGAGAATGAATCACCACCACCCTTTCTTGTAAGTGCCAAAGAAAATCTGCTGATATTAGAACATAAATGCATTGCGTTACCATGTTACAAAGACGCTGGTCCTGGAATTTATGCTTTATCTGCTGCAAGCTGATTTTTTTTCTTTTTCTGTGTGTTTTTGTCCCTGAAGCAAAGGCAAGTTTGGTCCCATTTCCCTTCCGTCCCAATTAAAACATGCCTTTTTTTTGTACCTTGCCCTCCCCCAAATGCACATTTTTATCTCTTCGATCTGAAGAAGAACGCCCACCCTTTCTGTATCCCTCACTTCCCCTTAGAAGAAAAATGCATCTTCCTCAGTTCTCACAGGTCAGGGTTCAGCTAGAGGGGCTTCGGGGACTAAACAAGATGTGGCAAGCCTCGACATTGGCAGCTTAGATGAGCTTGCCAAAAACAATTACAAAACGCTGCAAACTTCTGTCTCACAGTTGTAATCAAAGGTTCCCTGCACAGATTTATTGGGCTGCTTTATTTACGGCCTTCCATTATAGCAGCAATATACACCCATTACGGGATATGACAAGGCTTCATGCTTGCTTACACCCCAGGCTGGTTAATATGGCAGTGATGCACTCACTCAGCAGCTAGTTCCTTCAATCTCTCCCATGCAGCTCCAACGGTGTAGGCAACAAGTCTTATGTATCTTGAACAATTTGAGATTCTCGCATATGATCAAAAAGAATGTGAAGTTTTTGGGATGTCCCCTACATGTCACATCCGTGTGATATAGATGGTCTGGGCGGATGTAAATTAACCGCACATGGTTTCGAGTTCCTTGTGGGTCCACAGGTAATAAAACTACCCACATCTTTGGTTTGCGTCCCCCATGATACAAGACATGCCTGCATCCTCTTCAGTCATACGAGTTTCACTTGACTGCCTCAGTTGACAGCTTTGGATGAAGTATATAACTCCTCAACCAGGTGCATTTAAGTGATTCCTACTGTGAACTTATTGGACCCATAAAAGCACCCTTGAGTTGCCAAAACGTCCCGACATAGATCTGGGTGTAGAAGCAGGTAAAGAGTCTTCTCTATCTCTGTCGTAGCGGTCTTCAGCTGTTGTTGTGGCGAGCTTTACTGCACGGCACGTACTACATGTGTAAATAATAGCATTCCCACAATGCAATCACAATCTGCTCCATGTTGTTGATCTTTGTTTTTAAATGAATATCTTATGGCTTTTGTAAGCATGTCAGTGACAAATAAGAGGCCAAGGTTAAATAAAGGAAGCAAAATGTACTAAAAATCTAGTTTAAAACAGACATGGTTCCTGTTGGTATTATATATTTATGAAAAACGTTTATACTATTTTCAACAAAAGTTTAAATGAAGTTAATTTCATGTGGTATAACCAGAAACAGTTTAATATTTTTCAATATGATTTCAAAGTTAAACACACACACACACACACACACACACACAGCATTTAATTTATTTACACAAATCACTAATTTAATAAATATCTTTTTAGAAGTTGTATCATATGATATTATACAGTTTGAACTAGGGGTGCTCCGATTGATCGGCTACCGATCACTATCGGCCCATAATCGCTTTGGGATGATTGATTGATGGTCTCTATAAAGGCCGATCTCAAAAAAACAATCTCAAGCTGATGACGCTGCCGTGAGAGGTTTGGCATGACATGCAGCGGCACCGTCTCAGTCTCTGTCCGGCGCGGGTGAAATAATTATAACCTCTCAAAATGCGCAAATGGCTTTAAATCACATCACGTCTGCACTATAAGCGAGCTGCACGCTGCACAGTTGACACAGGAATTGTCACTTGCACAATCGAGGCAGTGTCGCATCGTCATAAATTAAAAAATTGCATTTCTTTTTAATTCTTGCCCGTGTTTAAACCATTCAGCGCTCGCGCGCTCTCCTGGAGACCATGCGCTCATGCATGCTCGCAGCGCACACACATAATGCCAGGTTGCAATGCGTATGCGGTGCGTATTTTTTCCGCACTCATGTTAACGGATTAAAGCTTTCACGCTGCACACGGTTGCGGTCCGGCAGTGCGTTCCAGGAGCGGTGCGTCTGCAGCAGTGCAGAGATAGTTCCTCTTCAGGAACTCGAGCTGCGTCGAAAACGCTAGGGGAACGCCTTCTGCGACCCACGCTCTGAATCACATGTGAAATTTTTTGGCTAGGTTTAAAGGAAAAGAGCACTTTTAGATAAACAAGGCAAAAATAGATGGCATTTGTGGAGGTAGGAAAACAAAGTTCTTTATAAACCGCAGGATTGCTTGTAATAAAGAATTAAATGCAAAAGAAAAGGCAGTAGAGCTGACTGTTTATATCAGTGGTAAGTTTTAATTTCGAATGTTTGTGATAATGAAGTAGTTTAAATGTTTTGCCACTTGCTTGAGCAACTTAATATATAAATCTAGAAGTAGGCCTAAATGCAAAAGTAAAAGGCATTGACTAATGTGTTTCTTATATTTATTGCGTTTAAACACGTCTTTGAAGGATTGTATTATACTGTACTGTGTAAAAAAAAACAATCACAAAGCTGAAAAAGCGAAAACAAAGTTCTTTATAAACCGCAGGATTGCTTGTAATAAAGAATTAAATGCAAAAGAAAAGGCAGTAGAGCTGACTGTTTATATCAGTGGTAAGTTTTAATTTCGAATGTTTGTGATAATGAAGTAGTTTAAATGTTTTGCCACTTGCTTGAGCAACTTAATATATAAATCTAGAAGTAGGCCTAAATGCAAAAGTAAAAGGCATTGACTAATGTGTTTCTTATATTTATTGCGTTTAAACACGTCTATGAAAGATTGTATTACTGTACTGTGTAAAAAAAGAATCACAATGTTGAAAAAGCCTTTTAAGTAACAATGTTTGGATTTAAAATCAAAATAATGGATAAATGTTGTGTTTGTAGTAAATGGCCACAGATCAGTTGCAGACTCCTGTGTGAAAGCACAATGAGAGTCAGTGCTGCTTCTGCACCGCTTCTGTACCGCACATGGACTGCATACACACTGCAAACGGAGTATGTGTGAACCTGGTGTAACATTGCCTCACATACAGCTCACGAAATTAGGCTTGTGTTCTGTGTAAGCTATTGTGCAACAATTGCACGATTGTCAAAACAAAAATACAGTGCATGATCAAACATTTAGGTGAGATAAATATATATTTTTGAAAAATGTCTAAAAAAAATGCCCCCCTCCACCCCTCAAATTAAAAAATCCCCTCTCACAAGAGTCACCTAAGAGGAGAATTCATTTTCAAAAATGAAATTCAAGCCCTGAATAAATGTCTAAAAATCTTGATTGGATCATCACTGTAAATAATTCTACATGATAAAAAGAAGGCTTTAAAAAGATCGGTACCGGTGATCGTATCGGCAGATACTGCTTTCTGTGATCGGTGGTGATCGGCCTCAAAAATCCTGATCGGAGCACCCCTACTCTGAACTACCCTTGCCAAACTATTTAATATATCACTACTTAATTTTCTTTTCAGGAATCTCATTCTTATATTGGCTTTTTTCTTTTTTATTCGTAAAAATATTAATGTATTAGTTATATTAATTCAGACATAGACGAGGTGTATTCAAGTCATTTTATGTGAGAATTGCATACTTAATGTATTTTTAAATAAAAATGACAACAAAATTGACATCTTCTTTTAACGGAGGAGGACTCACTCATTTGAAGGCTTATATCTTTCTTCTTGGACTCTCTTCACCTCTTAAAGCGGTAAATGCATTCCTGTTCTGTTGGAAGTTGCTTGTGTTTTTGTACTGCTGATAATAAGGTGCACGAAACGTTGGTGTTTCTTTTGAATACAGGTTTTCTAATTGAAAGGGCTTTTTTGTCACTCTAGTGTATGCATCAACACTTTCTGTCAAAGACAAATGTCCTTCGATCAGAGCTGATGCACTGTATTGTAACCTTTGGTAAAGGAAAAAACATGCCACTCTTTCACGGCACAATACCATTTTGGTTTGACACAAATATCTCTTCAGGCAGACCTTCGTTGCGCCTTCCTCCGCGTTTGTGTCCTTGACTGCCATTGGCTGTTCAGAGGCTCAGGTGGTTCTTTAGGTATATCCAAATGGATGTATGGCGCACCGCTTGTTTACAATGTTCTTATCAAGGTTAGCAGCTGTGTCACTGTACTTCTACAGCAGATAAACACTTTCTGATGGGGCTGATTGTGAATTTGTGCTGTTGGTTAGTGTGTATATTTGCTTTTGTGATAAAATGCATTGCCTACATAGATTGTACCATTCTTCCTAGGACTTCCAACAATGCTTGATGGTCACTCAATATTGTTTTTTTTTTTACCCCCTCCCAAGGTGCCACGTGATGATGGTAGAATCAGCAACTGAGACCATTCGAACAACACCCTCCAATCAAAATGGAGTCAGCAGCCTAAGCAGCCAGTCAGATGGCGGAGGAAGAGAGGGCGGGTCCAACGGTGACATCAATGGGGAGATCAGCCCGTTGGATTTACTGCATCTTCAACAGCAGCAGGTGTGTGTGTGTGTATGTGTGTGCGTGTGTGTATGTGTGTGTAAGGAGACCCTTAGTCCTCTACCCTGACTTTAAGGAAGTGTGTTTAGCTGTTAGTTGTTTCTTGTGCAATTCCCATGTCTTGCACAACCTATAAACAACCGACTATATGAAGCAAACTGCGTCACATTGGTTTCAACATCTCACAGAGTTTATTTTTGTGGTGTATAGTATTACAGCTTGTCATTTTTCAGTCATTCAATGGGAACAATATAAAAATGAAAGGGATCTTTAACAAAGAGTGAAAAATTTAAGGGGGTCTGAATACTTTCCGTACCCACTGTATATATATATATATACTGTATATGTAATCATTTATTGCTAAATTTATTGCAAACATCACACATTATTTTTTAATAAAAATTTTTTTAGAGGGTTGTACCATATATTTAAAATATTTTTTATTATATTATTACAATTATATTAATTTGTTATATTACAATTACATTAATTCATCAAAGGTGATTATACAGATTATACACTGGAGGAGTATTCAAGTGATTGTATATAGGAATAATGTTTAATGTTTTTTTTTTTTTGGCAGTAATAGATCTGGCCAAAAAAATAATAATTAATTGCTTTATTTAGTGCATTTCTAAATGTTCTATGAATATAATTAAAATGGAATGAGGCCTGAGGTTATCAAGCATTGAACAAGCACTCTAAATGTATCACAAAAGTAGTTCATACAACTTGTACACTTTACAACAAATTTTCTGAAGTCATATGATAGCTTTATGTGAGAAACAGTATACAAGTCTGAAAACTTGACCAAATCATTCTTTTGAGTCTGATCTTTTCAGTGAATCGGTTAATCCAGTTCACAAATTGATATGCTCATGAATCACACAAATCCAATCTAGACTGAATAAATTATTATCCATATGTAATAGCCTGTGTCTCACTCAAAGCTATTATATAGCTTCGGAAGACTTGAAATATAGGGCCACACTGATGGTAATTTAATGTTTTTTATGTCTTGTTATTATGCTTGAAAGTTTCAGTCCTCATGTATTGTCATTGCATACAAAAGAGCAAAAAACACAGTCTTTTTTGTTCAACGGAAGAAGGTAAGTTGTACAGGTTTGGAATGACATGAGAGTGAGCCAGTGATTTCATTTTTGGGTGAACTAATCTTTTAAGCAAATCTAGTCCTCAGGCTTCATATTTCCAAGCGGTTTTCCAGAACTTCATTTGGTGATTTCGTTCGCTCCTAACTCTAGTTCCTGTAGATGATGCAGACTTCACTGAATTCCTCACACTTTAGGTCCAGTCCTAGCAGCAGTCTCAGCCTAGACTGAGTCACAATAATCCTCTAAGCGACTGTTTTATGCAGTGACACGTCAGCGTGCAGAGGCTTGTGCTGTTTTTGCTCTTTGGCCTATGCGTCAGTGTCTTCCATATCCAGTTTGTCAGTTGGAATTTCCTCACTTCCCAGACTCTCTTGGCTGAAATTCTCTTTTTCTGTTCACACTCTTTCCTAAATGCATTACAGATGCAGATGGTAACAGAACCCCTCAACCTTGTTATCAGTGACACAGACTGGACTGCATGCCTGTTAACAGGTCCTAGTAACATTGATTAACTATTACTAAAAGAATGTGGGACCTGTTAAACCCAATTATTTACCTCTCCCAGCTGATGTGTATAAATCTGAACGCTTTAGACACTGATGTTTTCTAATTGTTGTCTTCAATAACCCTCTGGTGCTGGTGTCCACTATAATGTGGAGAGATATTTTAAAAGCCATTCTTAACCATTCAAGTGTGTTGTTACATCCAAACCACAGTGGGTGATCACCTTTGACCCTTACCCAAAATTCTATATGACTGTTCATTTTATACAGTCATTGTGTTTTTATTTTATTTTATTTATGACAACATAAATATTTACCTCTATCTTCTATTGTAAAAGGAAAGTTTTTATAAAAATTATAAAATGATGTTTTATCTATTTTATTAAATTAAATATTATTATATTATAAAATTAATATAATATATAGTCATATATAATATACAGTAAAATATAAGTACAATATTGTATTTTATATATTATTTAATTTTTATATTATATTTTAATTAAATAATATTTTTAATCATTTAT